GCTTCAAGCTGCCTGGCTGCCAGCCGCCATCTTGGCTGGCAGTTAATTTGCATATCGCCCTGATTAGCCAATGGGAAGGGTACTGGAGGTACAGCTAATTACCATGTTTCTCTTTTATTAGATAGGATAGATAATATATAATGTGCAGTATGTATTTCTCAATTTCATTGCTTATTCCCTCACACTACTAGTAAGTATCCATCATGTGTCTTTGAGGGCTATGTTCATCTTGGTTTCTCTCAAGACCATGTGCCATCTTGAATATTACTTGTTATTATGTTAGAGGGAAAAGAGCTTTGCAGGGTATTACAGCAGCAATTAAATACCTCAAAATTCCTGAGTGCCATGTTTCTCCTTATCACAACTATTAAGACAGTCAGATTTGGAAGCAGCTCAAGTGCTCATCAGTAGATGAGTGGGTTAAAAATCTGTGATACATTTACCCAATGGAATACTACTCAGCTGTAAAAAAGAAGGAAGTCTTACCTTTTGTGATAACATAGATAGATCTGGAGAGCATTATGCTAAGTGAAAAATCCAGTCAAAAAAAGACAAGTACCATATGATTTCATTTATACATTTAATCTAATGAAGAAAATAAGTTAAGAAACAAAATAGAAACAGTTTCATAGATACAGAGACTAGACTAACAGTTATTAGAGCTGAGAGGGGTGGGGGAGAAGGTGAAAAAAATGGAAGGGACTGAGCAAAACAAACAAACAAAAAATCTCATAGACACAGACAACAATATAGTGATTACTAGAGCAAAAAGGAAGTGGCGAGAGGCAGAAGAGGGGAAAAGGGGTAAATAGTGATGGAACTGAAGGAGAATTGACTTTAGATGGTGAACATACAATACAATACACAGATGCTTTGTTATAGAATTGTACACACGGCATCTATATAATTTTATTAACCCAAGTCACCCTAATATATTCCATATATATAAAAAAATAGATAGTCAAACAATCAAAAGGAAGCCATGAAATACAATCCAACCATGTCCATAGAAGGGGGCAGCAAATAGCTTGGAGATATATATATATATATATTTTACAGTGATATGTCATGATGTTTGGAGAGGCTAAAAAGAAATGTAGTAAGAAATCTACAAAATGGCACTACTAAAGATATGCCTGAGGGTTAAAAAGTCAACCAAAAGAAATGATGTAATGAATGTAAAAAATGGTAGGAGAAATAGTTTAACATACTTTATAGCACAAAATGTTAACTCATTGGTGCATTTGGAAGGCCATTGGTGAATTGTCAACCTTTGCTATCACTCATTCACTGCTGGTGATAATGTGAACTGGTAAAGCCACTATGGAAAGTAGTACGTCAGTTCTTCAAAAAATTAAGAATAAAATTACCATATGACCCAGCAACCTTTCTTCTATATGTTTATGCCAAAATTTTAAAAGTTATTCACAAAGATATATGTACCTCTATGTTCTGTGAAGCATTATTCACAGTGGCCAAGACAAGAAAACAAGTGTCCTTTGACAGATAATTGGATAAAGAAGTTGTGGTAAATATATACAATGGACTACTACTCAGACATAAGAAAAATTGAAGGACTGCCATTTGGAGAATATTATACTAAGTGAAATAAATCATACAGAAAATTTAAGAACTACATGATTTCACTCATATGTGCAATATAAAACCTAAAACAACAAATGAATAGACAAGAAAAACAAAAAAGCCAAAACTCATAGACACCAACAATATGAACAATATGGTGGTTATCAGAAGGAAAGGGTGGGATAAACGGTAAAGAGGGTCAAATATATGGTGACAGAATATCATGAGAGAAATGTACACTTGATACCTATATAATCTTATCAACCAATGTCACCCCATAAATTTAATAAGTAAATAAATGGTTCCAGATGGAAAAAAGCAATGTTTGTTAGTCTTAGTATCCCCAAGGTTTTATGCAGTATCTAAGTTATAATAAATACTGGTCAGATTCCAATTGAAGAAAATAATAATGTAGTATCACAGATAGTTCTTAGTAATGGCTCTTTGGTTTTCATATACATTTGAAATGGTCTCTCTCAATTTTGGAAAAAAAAAAATAAAATGTTAAAGAGGGTAAAATTCTCCCAGGTTTACCTCAATTAAAAATGACTGTATCAGTCATGAAAAAAATATTCAGACAAATTTCCATTCCCTCTCCATTTTTGCTATTAAATAGAAATAGAACTGCTTATTTAATGACAAAAATATCTGTGATTGAGAGATGCTGCTACTGTTATTAAATTACCAGTTTTGTTGATAAATGTTAAGCTACTGGCAATGGAGTGCATCAGTCTGACTTCATCTGAAGTAGATTTGAGTGATCCAAATTATAATATCCTGTGGGAATGTTTTCTTTTTGGCAGAAGCATCTTCAATTTCTTCTCTAGCCTTCTTTTTGTTTGTTTGCCTCTGTATTGCTGTTACTAATCCATATAATGCTACTTAGAAGAAATTAAGTAGGATAATCAGAGCTAACAAAATTAAAAAGTGTATGACTGTGGAATCTCAGAGGGAAGATGGGGGCGGGTGAGTGGGAAGAGATTAATCAAAGAACTTACTAGTATATGTTAACCAAAGAACTTATATGTATAATGCATGGATACAGACAATAGTGTGATGAAGGGCTGGGGTGGGGGCAGAAGATATGAGCTAGAAGTGGTCTACAGGTAAAAAAAAAAAAAGACATCTGTAATACTTTGAACAATAAAGATAAAATTTTAAAAAATTGTATGAAAAACCTATATCTACACTATATTTAATATAATGACCTCTAATTCTTGGTTTATGCTCATTTCTCACAGTAAATAATGTATTCCCAAATAGTCAAGTAGGTATTGAAGGACAATATATACAATGAAAGATTTCTAGACTAGCATTTAAGGCATTTTGTATCAAGCTATCCAATCTAGATTCAAAATGAGTAGATTATTCCAAATGTTAAAACAGAATTTATATGGATATCTATCAATGATAACATAAAAAGCAGGTTATTCATGGGTTTATATTTTTAGTTTAGGTTTCTAATAGCCCCAAATTCTGCCATTTTTAGAAAACTTCTATTACTATAATATTGTGAAGCCAGAATTATTTCAAATTCTGGGTACTTGAGTTGGCAAAGTTTTCCAAGACCAACTGGTCACAATCTATTCCTACTAATATATAAATAGTTATTTCCTGCTGTATAGAGACATGATAAAAATAACAGGCTTTCCACATATCTCTGTCACAGTTTGATCAGGATAAAATAAATCAGTCCAGATTTTTTTTATTAAGAAGAAATGTCATATGGGGAATTAGGTACTTGAACTACTGAAAGGGCAGAGGAAACAAAGATTTGGGAAAACAATTATTTGCTCTTAAGAAGTCAAAAATTTGCCACAGTGATCTCAGCTAACTGTACTTCAAAAACATGATTTTCAGAGAATTTACCATTAGTCATTGCAGAACCTCCCACATGCCATTTGCCTTTGTACTAACCCATAGTTGTTTGAAGGAGAAAATGATGGCTTTTTCTTCTTATTCTGTCTTGCAATGTTATGCAGTATCATTCCTTTAAGAATATAATCTTAAATCTTGATATTAAGAATTTTAAGGAAATGTTATTTCTGAGTGTGTAGCCCAGATAGAGAAGGGAAGATAAAAATGGTAGAGATGTAGCTGAGTACAAACAGATAGCAACTAAGAAATATATAATTTAATTGGGTTATCAAAATGGTATAAACATTCCTTTAAGTGTTCTGATGTCTCTAACGAAGTCCTAGACCAGCCACTTACAAGTTATATGGATTTAGTGAAATTCTATTCTTCTCTAAATTTATTCTGAATTCTAAATACTGAAGAGAGTATTAGCTCTCACAGTGTTGATACAATAATTATTTGAGAAGAGGCCTATAGGTACACAGTAAATATAATCTTTTTCCTATTATTTTTGATAATTTAGTACAATATAATATATAAAATATTTGTAAAAAGTCATAAATAATTTGACAAAGGTTAATTTTAAGCATAGAAAACCATGTTATTGTACAGCATCAAAGTTGCTTCAATATTTTAGACTACCTCTTAATTTTTCATCAATGATATTTTAAATTGAACTCCTCAAAACTGATGTTATAGTCTTAAAAGGATCTAGTTTTTACTCACTGAATTCATAAATACCTTGAATTCTTTGAATTCATTAAATATCAAACCTTATAAATTTTACTAATGAAAGATATATTTATTTTGAATCAGTGAGTTAAGGGCCCGTTTTATTATACAAGGTTATTGAACTTAAGCTTCCAAATCATCAGAAATAAAATTATTATACTACCATGTCCTAAATTGGGCGTCAACCAAAATTAGCCAAATTATAAAGAGTGCAGGTACAGTTCCCATAAGAGTGCCCTCACTTGACACTTATGACATCATTTACAATTTCAGGGGCCTTTAAAACCCCCTCATTTTCAATTATTTACTAGAAGGTCTCACAGAACTCAAAGAAAGCTGTTACACTCATAGTTATAGTTTATTTTGAGGAAAAATTAACAATTCAACCCAGCCAAAAGAAAAGGCGCAGAGGGCCAAGTCTGGGAAGGGTCCAAATGTAGAGCTTCTGATCATACTCTCCCTATATAGCACTGGATGGTGTTACCTATTCCTGTACATGATGTGTGACAATTCTCACAGAGTAAGTGCTGCACACGAGGGAAACTCACCCAAGGCTTTGACGCAAAGAGTTTTCATTGAGGATCAATTGCACACTGTCTACATGGCTGGCTTACTCCCCACACCCTTGCAGAGGAAGGGCAAATACCTTTAGTCACGAGTTTCTCAGGAGGTCAGAACTGATATTTTGATATTTAATTAATCATAAATCATATGATAAGACAATCGGATGGTCACAATCACCAGGTAAAAGACACGCCTATCAGGCAAAACCTTTCAGGGGTTCTAGAGCTTACCCCACAATCATCAAGGGCAAAGGGCAGACTGTTCTTTGTGTAGGTTAATTTTCATAGCATAGGTACCAATGTTGTTCCTGAGCAATAAAACATTATTGGATCTATTGATGTTAAACTATTATAGACTAATTGGAAGCAACACAATTTTAATTAGTGTGTTTTAACAGCCTAACCTCAGTAGAAATAAAAGTAAATATTTATATGCTAAATATTACCATTACCAAGAGAGAAGAATAATATAAAAAACTATCTACACTAATAAAAGAGAAACATGGTAATTAGCTTATGACCGCTACCCTTCCCATTGGCTAATCAGCATATCCTTATGCAAATTAACTGTCAGCCAAGATGGCGGCTGGCAGCCATGCACTGAAGCGAGCAGGGAGGCTTGCTTGCTCCAGTGACGGCGGACTCCAACGTTCCCCGCCTCACTTGCCGGCCTCTCAGCTACAACTCTAAGCAACTATGTACTATGTTGCAAATAAGAAGCTAAACAAAACCCCAGAAACCAGCCGGACTGAAAGCCAGCCGGACCGCAACATTGTATC